GTGGGGTGCTGGCGGGAGACTGACAGGATCCCGGTCCAGTCAGGGGCAGGCAGCACCGCCAAGGGGGTGGGGTTTAGGCGGGAGACTGACAGGTTCCCCGTCCAGTCAGGGCAGAAGGAGCGCCAATGTGGTGGGGTTTAGGCGGGGGACTGACAGGTTCCCCGTCCAGTCAGGGGAAGGCAGCACCGCCAAGGGGGTGGGGTTTAGGCGGGTGACTGACAGGTTCCCCGTCCAGTCAGGGGCAGAAGGAGCGCCAAGGCGGTGGGGTTTATGCGGGAAACTGACAGGATCACGGTCCAGTCAGGGACAGGCAGTAGCGCTAAAGGGGAGGGGTTTAGGCGGGATACTGACAGGTTCCGCGTCCAGTCAGGGCCAGAAATAGCGCCAAGAGGGTGCGGTGCTGGCGGGAGACTGACAGGTTCCCCGTCCAGTCAGGGGCAGGCAGGGGAACGCTAAAGGGGTAGGGTGCTGGCGGGAGACTGACAGGATCCCGGTCCAGTCAGGGGCAGGCAGCACCGTGAAGTGGGTGGGGTTAGTCGGGAGACTGAGAAGTTCCCCGTCCAGTCAAGGGCAGGCAGGGGAACGCTAAAGGGGTGGGGTGCTGGCGGGAGACTGACAGGTTCCCCGTCCAGTCAGGGGCAGGAGCGCCGAGGTGGTGGGGTTTAGGCGGGAGACTGACAGGATCCCGGTCCAATTTGTGGCAGGCAGTGGAGCCTAAAGGGTGGGTTTCTGGCGGGAGACTGACAGGTTCCCGGTCCAGGCAGGGGCAGGCAGGGGAGCTAAGGGGGTGGGTTTCTGGCGGGAGACTGACAGGTTCCCGGTCCAGGCAGGGGCAGGCAGGGGAGCTAGGGATGCGGGGTTCTGTTTGACGACGGGCAGCTTTTGGTCCGAGTCAGGAGCTGGCAGGGGAGCCAAGGAGGTGGGGTTCTGGCGGGAGACTGACAGGGTCCCGTCCAGTCTGGGGCAGGCAGGACCGCCAAGGGGGTGGGGTGCTGGCGGCAGAGTGACAGTTTCCCGGTGCAGTTGTGGGCCGGCAGGGGAGCTAAGGCCTTGGGGTTTGGGCGCAAACTGACAGGATCCTGGTCCAGTCAGGGGCAGGAAGGGGACCCAAGGAGGTGGGGTTCTGGCGGGAGACTGACAGGTTGCGGGTCCATCAGGGGCAGGCAGAGGAGCTGAGGTGGTGGGTTTCTGGTCGTCCACTGAGAGCTTCCCGGTCCCGTCAGTGGCAGTCAGGGGAGCCAGTGAGCTGTGGTTTGAGCTGGCAGACTGACAGGTTCCAGGTCCACTGGGGTAGGGAGGGGAGCTGAGGAGGTGGGGTTCTGGCTGCAGACTTGGAGGTTCCGGGTCCCATCGGGGCAGGCAGAGGAGACGAGGTGGGGTCCAGGCTGCAGAAAGAAAGATTCCTCGTCCAGCAGGGGCAGGCAGAGCAGATAAGGAGGTGGGGTTCTGGCCACAGACTGACAGGTTCCCGTTCGTCGAGTCAGGGGCACTCGGGTGAGCCAAGAAACTGTGGACGTTTACTTCTTCCTGAGAGGATGCGGTCTGAGAGGAGGAGCGTGGTGGGGGCAAGAGGTGCGGAGTCACCGCACGGACGCCGGGAGGCGGGTGAGAGCAGTCCTGAGGCGGGCAGCCAGCAGACTGACTCGTTTATTTCAGTTGCTACAGCTGCTTCTATGGCCAAGACAGCCCATCCAGTCAAGGGGCGGTCTAGGCCCTGACCAATCACAGGCTGTGGCCAGGCGGTTTCCAAAGCCATCCAATCACAGCCTGTGGCCAGGCAGGCTCTTGGTGCCAGGCAGGTTCTGAAACCATCCAGTCACGGCCCGCCATCAGTCAGGCTCTGTTGTCATGTGGTTTCTGAAAGCATCCAATCACGGCCGGCTGGCTGTCAGTCAGGCTCTGTTGTCGTGTGGTTTCCTCTGTTGCCATGTGGTTTCAGAAGCCATCCAATCACGGCCTGGTGCCAGGCAATTTCTGTGGTCAGCGGCCATCTTGGCATGACCTTTTCTCCTCGGCGGCCATCTTGGCATGACCTTTTCCCTCAGTGGCTATCTTGACATGACCTCTTCACCTTAATGACCTTTTCACCTTACCCCTTGCCATAGTGCACAGGGAACCTGTCAGCCTGCGACCAGACACTCCCCCTTAGCTCTCATGCCTGGACATTTTGGTCCAGGATCCTTTCCGTCTGTGGCCAAACCTGGGAACCTTTCCATCTGCGGCAGGAATCTCACGTCCTTGGCTCACCTGCCTGCCCCTGAGGGGACCAGGAACCTGTCGGTCAGCAGCCAGAGCCCACCCCCTTAGTCTCCACTGAGTGGCCCTGACGGGACCGGGAACCTGTCGGCCTGCTGACAGAACCCCATGTCATTGGCTCCGCTGACTGCCCCTGACAGCATGGGAACCTGTCAGTGTGTGACCGGAAACCAACCGCTTTAGCTCCTCTGCCTGCCCCTGATGGAGGTGGAATCCGTCACTCTGCGGCCAGAACCCCACATCCTTGGTTCCACTGACTTCCCCCTAATGGACCCAGAACCTCTCAGCCTCTGGCCAGACCCCACCTCCTTGGCTCCTCTGACTGTCCCTGACTGGACCGGGAACCTGTCAGTCTGTGGCCAGAACTCCACCCCTTAGCTCCCCTGCCTGCCTCTGACTGGACCTGGAATCTGTCAGTCAGTCTGCGAAAGGAACCCCATGTCCTTAGCTCCCTGCCTACTCCTGATGGGACCAGAGACCTGTTGTCATTCTGTGGCCAGAACCCCACCTCCGTAGGCTACGCTGCCCGCCCCTGACTGGACCAGGAACTGGTGAGTCTGCAGCCAGAACCCCACCCCATCAGCACCCCTCCCTACCCTTGATGGACCCGCAACTGTCACCTGTGGCCAGAACCCCACCTCCTTAGGCTCCCCTGCCTACCTGTGACGGGACTCGGAACCTGTCAGTCTCGACCAGAGCCTAACCTGCGTGGCTCCCCTGACTTTCCCTGAGGGGGCCAGGAACCTGTCACTCTGTAGCCAGAACCCCACCTCATTGGGCTGCCCCTGACAGCAACGGGAACCTGTCAGCCTGTGGCCAGATCCCCATGTCCTCAGCTCCCCTGCCTGCCCCTGATAGACCTGAACCTGTCCTCCTGTGGCCAGAACCAACCTCCTTGGCTCCCCTGACTGCCCGCGATGGGACCAGGAACCTGTCATGCTGCTGCCAGAACCTTAGCCAGAACGCCTGTCCATGTGCGGCCAGAACCCCACATGCTTAGCTCCCCGGCTTGTCCCTGACTAGACAGGGAACTTGTATGTCTGTGGCAGGAACACCATCCTCTTACACTACTCTGCCTGCCCCTGACTGGAACCAGAGCCTGTCATTCTGCGGCCAGAACCCCACCTCCTTGGCTCCCCTGACTGCCTCTTTCTGGCCTGAGAACCGGACAGTCTCGGACTACAACCCCACCTCTTGGATCCCCTGCCGGCCCTTGATGGAACTGGGAACCTGTCAGTCTGGGGCCAGAACCCCACCTCCTTGTCTCCCCTGCCTGCCGCTGATGGGACTGGTAGCTTGCCAGTCTAGGGCCAGAAACGCCGTCTTTGGCTCCCCTGCCTGCCCCTGACAGGACCGGGAACCTGTCAGTCTGCGGCAGGAACCCCAAGTCCTTAGCTCTCCTGCCTGCCCCTGACTGACCCAGAACCTGTCACTCTGCGACAGTTCCTGATCCAGTCAGGGGCACTCAGTGGATCCTAAGGGAGTGGTTTCTCCGCCATATCTGAATGTGAAAGTCCAGCTGGGTGCAGAAACTAGGGAAGAACAGACAGTGCACACATCTGGTCAGATGGCAAGTGTGTGACATTCAAGATGGTTTACAAAGTGGCCCACAACAGGTGATCTCTCCCTACCTCTTCATGTAGTGTGCCTTAAGACACTAACACCTGGCTCACAACTTGAAGTCTATAAAGGACGGAGACCCTCAGCTATCACTGAGTGGCTCAGAGGACACTGCATGGCTTGTGCTCAATCACTTGTGTCCCTGTTCAAAGCATAGTTTATGAAAATAATCATACAGGCCAGCGCCGCGGCTCACCAGGCTAATCCTCTGCCTGCGGCGCCGGCACACCGGGTTTTAGTCCCGGTCAGGGCACCGGATTCTGTCCCGGTTGCCCCTCTTCCAGGCCAGCTCTCTGCTGTGACCAGGGAGTGCAGTGGAGGATGGCCCAAGTGCTTGGGCCCTGCACCCCATGGGAGACCAGGAGAGGCACCTGGCTCCTGCCATCGGATCAGCGCGGTGCGCCGGCCGCGGCGGCCATTGGAGGGTGAACCAACGGCAAAGGAAGACCTTTCTCTCTGTCTCTCTGTCTCTCACTGTCCACTCCTGCCTGTCAAAAAAAAAAAAAAAAAGAGGCTATCAGCAAAAACCAAGACTCGTTCAAGGTGGTGAAGACCGCGCGTACGTTTCGGGAGTCTTATTTCAAGTTTTAATTCTTCTGCCAACACACTCATGGTAATCCCAGGCTAGTTGCTCTCGTTTCTGAATCGACGTGTCACCCACTGCGCCTCCCTCGTCTGGGCACTTCATCACTCACTCACTGAAGTTGCTGTTCAGAGTGTCCGCTGTGTCCTGTTCTCTCCTGCTCTAAAGTCACTGAGGAGACAGTACTGACGACGAAGCTGCAAACCCTTTCAAGAAGCAAACGTGTCTATACACGACCATGTTTTCAAGGCATTTCCGATGGATCTGACTGCCTGTCAAAAAAAAAAATTAAAAAATAACTGAGATATTGGGGGTCTTGGTATTAGAAGATGAGCAAACTTCGTAGTTATGAATCTGCCTTGTCCAGCGTGCTCTACACGCCATGTTGATGACCCTCCTCTCCCTGAGAGAAGAGCCAGCCTGAGCCATGGAGTGAGTGGAGCAGAAAACCAGATTAGAGGATTACACAACGCAGAACCGGTCAAGTCGGTTTTTCCCATCGAGAGACAGAAGCTACAGTGACCTCCCTGGAGCTCTCAAGGTCATGTCTGGGTGCCTGGGCACGAAAAAAGCTAAAAAAAAATAAAATAAAATAAAAAATCCAGGTTCTGGAACATTCTAGGACGTTCTAGAATGTTCCGGGATCCCTAGAATTTTTCCGAGGTGTTCTAGAATGTACCAGAACATCACCAAGTGAGTCTGGGGGGATTCTGGGATACGGGTCTGAGTAGAAGTTTCCCGGCTGGGTGTGACGGGTGTCCTGGTGCCGGCCTGTCCCTGCGGACATTGACGTGACATCCCGTGCCCACCGGGGCTGCGGAAACTTCCAGCACATCGGCAGAGGGTCTCAGACCCCCCAGGACGCTCGCTGGGTTCTCTGGAACATACTGGAACATTCTACAACATTCCAAGACCCCAAAGACACTCTCCAAGCGGTCCAGGGCATCCTACGAACATTCTACAAAATTCTACGTCATCCACCAGTATTCCGGAACACTCCAAGACCAGGTGCTCTAGAATACTCTAAGGCCCCGAGGACGTGCACCGGGCTCTCTGGACGTGTTCTAGAACGTTCCGGAACATTCCACAGAATTCCTCGCGATTCCAAGGACATTCCCTGGGCATTCTAGAACATTCTGGAATCCTGGAAACACGCACCAGGGGTTCTGGAAAATTCCAAGGCCCAAGAACGCACGACAGACTCTCCCAGAATTCCCTGGGAGCACTGACCGTTCCGGAACGTCCCTGGTATCCACCAGGATGTTTGCACAACCTTCGGCCCCGCCAACTCCTCCCCCAGCCCTGGCAATAAATAGACGCCGGGTCCCCGCCGGCTCAGACGACGACGAAGACGATGGTGATGAAGATGACGGTGACGAAGGCTCTCCTCCTCGCCCTCACGGTGGGCGTGGCCTGTGCGGACGTCGACCCCGCCCAGGTATCATTAATTTGCATCATTAGTTCCCAGTATTAATTCTCGTCATGAATTCATATCATTTCTTCACATCATTACTTCGCATCACTAATTCGCATCACTACTTCGTGTTGTTTCTTCAGCCGTATCATTAATGCGCGTCATTTCTTCACCTCCCCAGCTCTCCGGGCCCTGGCGCACCTCCGCCATGGCCTCCAACAACCTGGAAATGATCCTGAAGGATGGGCCACTCCGGATGCTGTTCCGCGAGATGGAGTGCAACGAGGACTGCAACGCCCTGAACGTCTTCTTCTACGTCAAGTGAGGGGCGGGGCCAGGGGAGACAAGCCGAGGCCAAAGACAGCCAGGGGGGAGCAATCGAGCCCAGAGAGCGGGGAAGACAGGCGCCACCAAGCACAATCGATCCCAGAGAGAGAGAGAGAGCAGGCCAGGGCGACCAGCCGAGCCCAGAGAGAGAGAGAGCAGACAGGAGTAGTTGAGCCCAGAGTCAGAGAGCATGTGGGCTAGAGGGGAGTAATGGAGGTGAGAAAGAGCAGACAGGAGTAGTTGAGCCCAGAGTCAAAGAGCAAGCCAGGGGGGCACCAGCCGAGCCCAGGGAGAGTGAGCAGACAGGAGTAGTTGAGCCCAGAGTCAGAGAACAGGTGGGCTAGAGGGGAGTAATGGAGCTGAGAGTGAGCAGACAGGACCAGCCGATCCCAGAGTCAAAGAGCAGGCCATCGTGGACCAGCCGAACCCAGAGAGAGAAAGAGTAGACAGGAGTAGTTGAGCCCAGAGTCAGAGAGCATGTGGGCTAGAGGGGAGTAATGGAGCTGAGAGCAGACAGGACCAGCCGATCCCAGAGTCAAAGAGCAGGCCATGGTGGACCAGGCGAGCCCAGAGGGAGAGCAGACAGGAGTAGTTGAGCCCAGAGTCAGAGAGCATGTGGGCTAGAGGGAAGTAATGGAGCTGAGAAAGAGCAGACAGGAGTACTTGAGCCCAGAGTCAAAGAGCAAGCAGGGGGGACCAGCCGAGCCCAGGGAGAGTGAGCAGACAGGAGTAGTTAAGCCCAGAGTCAGAGAGCATGTGGGCTAGAGGGGAGTAATGGAGCTGAGAGTGAGCAGACAGGACCAGCCGATCCCAGAGTCAAAGAGCAGGCCATGGTGGACCAGCCGAGCCCAGAGAGAGAAAGAGTAGACAGGAGCAGTTGAGCCCAGAGTCAGAGAACAGGTGGGCTAGAGGGGAGTAATGGAGCTGAGAGAGAGCAGACAGGACCAGCCGATCCCAGAGTCAAAGAGCAGGCCATGGTGGACCAGGCGAGCCCAGAGGGAGAGCAGACAGGAGCAGTTGAGCCCACAGCGAGCGGCCATGTTCCCGGTCTCTCCTTCAGGAAGAACGAGGTATGCACCCCGCACACGGTTGTGGCCCAGAAGAACGCAGACGGCATCTACACCACTGACTGTGAGTACAGAGCATTTCGGAAAGTTCCAGACAATTCCAGATGACCCCAGGGAATGTCCGGTGTGTTCCAGAATGTTCGAGAATGTTCCCAGAAATGTTCCAGGATGTTGCAAATGTCCCAGAATGCTCCAGTTCCTCAATGTTCTAGAATGTTCCAGAATGCGCTAGAATGTCCCAGCATGCCCCGGCACATCCAGAACACCCACCTCTCTCCCTACAGTCGAGGGCCAGACCTCCTTCCAGTTCCAGGAATTGGATCCCACTAGCCTCATCGTCTTCATCAATAACATGGCATCCGGCGGCACCACCAGCCGCCTCAGCTTCCTCACTGGTGAGCCCCCCTCACACACACATGTACACTGCCGGTGCCCGCTAGGGATACGCACCACGACCCGAGAGTCTGAGCCCGACTGTATACGGGGAAAGGGGGGCTGCATGGCCAGGCATATACAGTCGGTGCCCACTGGATAAAGCGGGTGTATACAGTCAGTGCCCACTAGACATGGTGGGCATATACAGTCGGTGCCCACTAACGCTAGCATATACAGTTGGTGCTCGCTAGATGGGGTGAGCGTATACAGTCACTAAAGCGAGTGTATGCAGTAGGCGCACACTAAAGCGAGCGTACTCAGTCGGCGCCCACTCTTGCCACAGCCAAATTGAATTTCATAAACGATGACGCGCTGGACGACTACGCGAGGCTCACGGAGCAGAATGGGATCCCGCGGAAGTACATCCGGCGTGTGGCCGACACAGGTGAGGCCTTGGCGGCTTCCGGGCTGACTCGGCGCTGACTCGGCGCTGACTCAGCGCTGACTCGGCTTTCCTCTCTCTCCAACAGACACCTGTCCACCCTGAGGACGCCTCCCTTGGAGAAGGTGCCAGAACGTTCTAGACCATTCCAGAACGTTCTAGACCATTCCAGAACCGCCCCTGATCGCCTCACCATCTCCTCCCACCTGCGAATGCGCTAGCATGCTCCGGACATTCTAGAACGTTCTGGATTGATCCAAGATGGTCTGGATCGTCCCAGAATTTCTAGAAAGCTCCGGAACATTCTAGAATCGGCCGTCCCCGGCTTTCTCTGCTTCCTGTTCATGGAATAAACTCATCCTAGGCACAGTCCCAGTTATTTATTTTAAACGATTTTTATTGTTCCGTCAAAAGACAGAGCGAGCTGGTGGAGGAACCCAGGGGCTACCTCCGGGTCTCCCTGCACTGTCAGTCACCGTTCACTGACAAGGGGGTGGGCTCTGTCATCTGGTGGCTGTCAATCAGCCATGAGTGACACTGGGGGGGTTCTCCCCGACTCCACTGGCAGCCAGTCACACTCCACCAGGATCCCAGGGCCACACCCGTGTCCCCATGGCCACATCCGGGTCTCCAGGGCAATATCCGGCTCCCCAGGGCTCCACTCATGTCCGCAGTGACACATCCAGGTCCCCAGGGGCACATCCTGGTCCCCAGGACCACATCCGGGTCTAAGTGCTCCATCCAGGTCTCTGGGCTCCATCTGGGTCCCTAGGGCTCCATCCGGGTCTCTGGGCTCCATCCGGGACTCCTGGCTCCATTCGAGTCTCTGGGCTCCACACAGGTCTCTGGGCTCCATCGGGGTCTCTGGTCTCCATCTGTATCTCTGGGCTCCATCCGGGTCCCTAAGGAAACATCCGGGTCCCTAAGGCTCCATCCGGGTCTCTGTGCTCCTTCAGGGTCACTAAGGCTACATCCGGGTCCTTAAGGTTCCTTCCGAGTCCTTAAGGCTCCATCCGAGTCTCTGGGCTCCATCCAGGTCTCTGGACCACATCCGGGTCTCTGGGCTCCATCCGGGTTTCGGGGCTCCAACCGTGTCCCTAAGGCTGCATCCAGTCTCTGGGCTCCATCCGAGTCTCTGGGCTCCATCCCAGTCTCTGGGCTCCACCCCGATCTCCAGGGCCACATCCAGGTCCCCAGGGCCACATCCGGGTCTCCAGGGCCACATCCGGTTCCCCAGGGCTCTATCCGGGTCTCCAGGGCCACATCTGGGTCCCCCAGGACCACATCGTGGTGTCTAGGGCCACATCCGGGTCTCCATGGCCACATCCAGGTCTCCAGGGCTCCCTCCAGGGCCACATCTGCGTCCCAGGGCTCCACCCGCGTCCAGAGCTACATCCAGGTCCCCAGAGCCACATCCAGGTCTCCATGGCCACATTCAGGTCCCCAGGGCCACATTCGGTCTCCCAGGGCTCTACCCGGGTTTCCCAGGGCTACATACGGGTCCCCAGGGCCACACCCGGGTCTCCAGGGCCACACCAGGGTCCAGGGCCACATCCGGATTTCCAGGGCTCCCTCCAGGGCCATATCTGGGTCCCAGGGCGCCACCCGGGTCTCTGGGCTCTCTCCAGGTCTCTGAGCTACATCTGGGTCCCTAAGGCTCCATCCTGGTCTCTGGGCTCCATCCTGGTCTCTGGGCTCCGTCCGAGTCTCTGGGCTCCATCTGGGTCACTAAGGCTCTATCCGCATCCCTAAGGCTCCATGCGGGTCTCTGGGCTCCATCCAGGTCCTTAAGGCTCCATCTGAGTCTATGGGCTCCATTCGAGTCTCTGGGCTCCATCCGGGTCTTTGGGCTCCATCCAGGTCCCTAAGGATCCATCCGGGACTCCTGGCTCCATCCGAGTCCCTGGGCTCCATACGGGTCTCTGGGCTCCATCCAGGTCTCTGGGCTCCATCCGTATCTCTGGGCTCCATCTGGGTCCCTAAGGCTCCATCCACATCTCTGGGCTCTATGCGAGTCTCTGGGCTCCATCCGATTCCCTAAGACTCCATCCAAGTCCTAAGGCTCCATCCGGGTCTCTGGGCTCCATCCAGGTCTCTGGGCTCCATCCAAGTCTCTGGGCTCCATCTGGGTTCCTAAGGCTCCATCCGGGTCCCTAAGGCTCCATCCAGTTCCCTAAGGCTCTTCCGAGTCTCTGGGCTCCATCTGGGTCCCTAAGGCTCCATCCGGGTCCATAAGGCTCGATCCGGGTCTCTGGGCTCCATCCGGGTCTCTGGGCTCCATCCGGGTCCCTAATGCTCCATCGGGGTCCCTAAGGCTCCATCCGGGTCTCTGGGTTCCATCCGAGTCCCTAAGATTCCATCTGGGTCCCTAAGGCTCCATCCAGTCCCTAAGCCTCCATCCGGGTCTCTGGGCTCCATCCGGGTCTCTGGGCTCCCTCCAAGTCTCTGGGCTCCATCCGAGCCATAAGGCTCTATCTCACTCTCTGGACACCATCCGAGTCTCTGGACTCCATACATATCTCGGCTCCATCCGGGTCTCTGGGCTCCATCCAAGTCTCTGGGCTCCATCTGGATCTCTGGGCTCCATCCAGGTTCCTAAGGCTCCATCCAGGTCTCTGGGCTCCATCCGGGTCTCTGGGCTCCATCCGGGTCTCTGGGCTCCATCCAAGTCTCTGGGCTCCATCTGGATCTCTGGGCTCCATCCAGGTTCCTAAGGCTCCATCCAGGTCTCTGGGCTCCATCCGGATCCCTAAGACTCCATCGGGGTCCCTAAGGCTCCATCTGGGTCTCTGGGCTCCATCCGGGTCTCTGGGCTCCATCCGGGTCTCTGGGCTCCATCGGGTCCCTAAGGCTCCATCCGGGTCTCTGGGCTCCATCCTGGTCTCTGGGTTCCATCTGAGTCCCTAAGATTCCATCCGGGTCCCTAAGGCTCCATCCAGTCCCTAAGCCTCCATCCGGGTCTCTGGGCTCCATCCGGGTCTCTGGGCTCCATCCGAGCCATAAGGCTCTATCTCACTCTCTGGACACCATCCAAGTCTCTAGGCTCCATCCGGATCTCTGGGCTCCATCCGAGTCTCTGGGCTCCATCCGAGACTCTGGGCTCTATCCGGGTCTCTGGGCTCCATCCAAGTCTCTGGACTCCATCCGAGTCTCTGGGCTTCACCCAGGTTCCAGGGCCACATCTGGGTCTCCAGGGCCACATCCGGATGCTCAGGGCCACATCCAGGTCTCTAGGGTTCTCTCCATGGCCACATCCGGGTCTCCAGGGCACCATCCAGGTCTCCAGGGTCACTCTGGGTCTCCAGGGCCAAATACGGGATCCCAGGGCCACATCCGGGTCCCCAGAGTCACATGGGGCTCTCTAGGGCCACACCCGGGTCTCTAGGGCCACATCCGGGTCCCTAGGGCCACTTCCGTGCCTCCAGGTCCACGTCCGGGTCTCCAGAGCCACATCCGGGTCTCCATCGCTACATCCGGGTCTCCCAGGGCTCCATCCGGGTCCCCCAGGTCCACATCCCAAGTCCACATCCAGGTCTCCCAGGGCTCCATCCAGGTCCACATAAGGTCTCCAGGGCCACATCTGGTTCTCCCAGGGCCACATCCGGTTCCCAGGTCGACACCCCGGGTCCCAGGGCCACATCCAGGTCCCTAGGGCCACATCCGGGTCTTCAGGGCCGCAACCGGCTCTCCAGGGACACATCTCGATCCCCCAGGGCCACATCCAGGTCTCCAGGGCTCACTCAAGGGCCACATCTTGGTCCCAGGGCTCCACCCAGGTCTCCAGGGCCACATCCGGGACTCCACGGCCACATCCGGGTCTCCAGGGCCACATCCTTGTCTCCAGGGCCACATCCAGGTCTCCCAGGGCTTCACCGGGTCCCCAGGTCACATCTGGGTCCCGAGGGCTACATCGGGGTCCCCAGGGCTCCTTTAGTGTCTCCAGGGCCACATCCGGGTCTCCTGGGCCACATCTGGATCTCAAGGGCTACATCGGGGTCTCCAGGGCCACATCCGGGTCTCCAGGGCCACATCCAGGTCTTCAGGGCTCCCTCCAGGGCCACTTCTGTGTCCCAAGGCTCCACCCGGTTCTCCAGGGGCACATCCGGGTCCCCAGGGCCACATCCAGGTCTCCCAGGGCTCCACTCGGTTCCCCAGGTCCACACCTGGGTCTCCAGTGCCCCATTGGGTCTTCAGGGCCACATCCAGGTCTCCAGGACCACATCCGGGTCCCCAGGGCCACATCCGGGTCTCCAGGGACACATCCGGGTCCCCAGGGCCACATCTGGGTCTCCCAGGGCTCCACCTGGGTCCCCCAGGGCCACATCCAGGTCTCCCAGGGCTCCACCTGGGTCCCCAGGGCCACATCCGCGTCCCCAGGGCCCCACCCAGGTTTCCAGGGCCACACCCGGGTCTCCAGGTCCACACCCTGGTCTCCAGTGCCCCATTGGGTCCTCAGGGTCACATCCAGGTCTCCAGGGCCATATCCGGGTACCCAGGGCCACATCCCAGTGTCCAGAGCCACATCCAGGTCTCCCAGGGTCACATCAGGGTGTCTAGCGCCACATCCAGATCTCCAGGGCTACATCCAGGTCTCCAGGGCCACATCCGGATCTCCAGGGCCACATCCAGGTCTCCAGGGCGACATCTGGGTCTCATGGGCCACATCCGGGTCTGCAGAGCCACTTCCGGGTCTCCAGGGCCAATTCTGGGTCTCTAGGTCCACATCCGGGTTTCTAGGGACACATCTGGGTCTCCAGAGCTCCATGCAGGGCCCCACCCCGGTCTCCAGGGCCACATTGTGGTATCCCAGGGCCACATCCGGGTCTCCAGGGCCACAACTGGATTTCAAGGGCCACACCCAGGTCTTCAGGGCCACATCCAGGTCCGCAGGACCACATCCGTGTGCCCAGGGCCACATCCTGGTGTCTAGGGCCACATCCGAGTCTCTAGGACCACATCCAGGTCCACAAGGCCAATTCCGGGTCTCCAGGGCCAATTCCGGGTCTCCAGGGCCACTTCTGGGTCTCTAGGGCCACATCTGGGTCTTTAGGGCCAAATCCGATTCTTTAGGGCTACATCCTGGTCTCCAGGCCTCATCTGAGCCTCCAGGGCTCCCTCCAGGGCCACATCTGTGTCCCAGGGCTCCACCCGAGTCTCCAGGGCCACATCCGGGTCTCTAGGTCCACATCTGTGTCTCCAGGGCTCCATTCGGGTCTTCAGGGCACATCCGGGTCTCTAGGGCCACATCCAGTTTCCAGGCGCATCCAGGTCTCCAAGGCTCCCTCCAGGGCCACATCTGTTTCTCAGGGCTCCACCTGGGTCTCCAGGGCCACATTCAGGTCTACAGGGCCACATCTGGGTCCCCA